AGTACCCCGCCTTTCCTCCCAAGGGAAGGTGCCCAACGAGAGTGTTTCTCAGATCACTCAGGCCTCTAGCAGCAAAGCCGTGAGCTCAGGACTAACCACATAATTGGGGGACCTTTTGTTCAAAAATTATTTAGAATTTCAAAACAACAACAGGAAAGCATCAAACCAAGCACAGGGCCCTTCTGAACACAGGCCCTGAAACTGGCAGAGAGGAAGCTTTGTCCCAGCGGCCGGAAGGTACATCTCATCCAATTCAATAAAATGTGACCAAACCCAAACCCCAATCCAACTATAGCCGCAGTTAAAAGGCGGTGTTTACAGTAAATGGTTATCTAACAGTTATAGTCATGTAAATGCTATTCCAAGGCTTTTAATCTTTTGAGTCAACCTGTGGACAAAGCAGTAAAGGCTTGATTGTGGAGCAGAAGAGGATGTGAATGTCAATAACAGGAACAATGTAAAAAACTTAAGAGTTTACCGAGATGGGGTGTGAACTGGCAGAGGAGAGGGTAGGGAAGTTGTCGACTTTTCTTTGAAGATAGCTAATCGGGTTAGTTCCAACGTAGCTTAAAACCAAAATACACTCTTTAGAGTGGTTTTATTATCTGGTCTGCAGAAGAATACCAGAAAATTATCCAAACGCCTAAAATAACTTAAATGTACCAAATTGTCAACATACATCCCCAGTAGAAGCTCCCCGAAGGCCAGCAAAGCATTGTTCGTTTTGCACCTTTCCCTGGTCCCCTCGACATGCGAGACCTTAGTTCCCTGACCAGGGATCGAACCCGTGCCCCCTGCAGTGGAAACACAGAGTCCTAACAACCGGACCACCAGGGAAGTCCCTCTGTCATCTTACATAGGTACAATAAAAAGAAAAAACTAACAATGTTTTTCTTCCTTGTGACTCTTAGGATCTAATCTTTTATTATTATTATTTTTAAAGTTGAAGTACAGTTGATTTACAATATTGTGTTAAGGAATCTGCTCTCTTAACAACTTTCAAGTATACCATACAGCAGGGTTAGCTATAGCCATCATGTTGTATATTACATCCTTGGCTCTTATTTGTCTTATAATTGGAAGTTTGTACTTTGGACTGACTTCATCCAATTCCTCCTCCCCTCAGCTCCCACCCACCCCCTACCCCCACCTCTGGTAGCAAATCTCATCCATTTTTTTCTATGAGTTTGGCTTTTTGCTTATTTTTATTTTGTTTTCGATTGCACATGTAAGTGATATCATACAGTATTTGTCTTTCTGCCTGACCTATTTCACCTAGCATATTGCCCTCAAGGTCTACTCATGTCGTCAAAATGGCAGGATTTCCCTTTTTATGGCTGAATAATATTCCATTGCATGCATGTATATGTTTGTGTGTGTGTATACCACAACATCTTTATTCATTCGTCTGTCAATGGACGCTTAGGTTGTTTGCATGTCTTGGCTGTTGTAAATAATGCTGCTCTGAACATGGGTGTAAAGGTATCTCTTTGACAGAGTGTTTTCATTTCCTTCCGATATATTCCCAGAAGTGGAATTGCTGGATCATATGGTAGGTCTGTCTTTAATTTTTTTGAGGACTCTCCACAGTTTTCCATAGTAGCTGCACCAATTTACATTCTCACCAACAGTGCACAGGGGTTCCCTTTCTCCACATCCTTGCCAGCATTTGTTCTCTCTTGTCTTTGGATGATAGTCATTCTAACAGGTGTGAGGTGACATTGGGGTTTTGATTTTCATTTCCCTAATGATTAGTGATTTTGAACATCTTTTCATGTACCTGTTGGCCACTCATCTATCTTCTTTGAAAAATGTTTATTCAGGTCCTTTGCCTGCTTTTTAATTGTATTATCATCATCACCATCATCATTATTACTATTTTGCTATTGAGTTGTAGGAGCTCTTTATATATTTTGGATATTAAACCCTTATCAGATATATGGTTTGCAAATATTTTTTCCCATTTCATAGGTTTCACTTTATTGATCTTTTGCTGTGAGAAGCTTTTTAGTTAGCTGTAGTCCCAGCTGTTTATTTTTTATTTTCTTGCTTGTGCTTTAGGTGTCATATCCAAAAACATAATTGCCGAGACCCACGTCAAGGAGCTTTTCTCCTATGTTTTCTTCTAAGAGTTTTATGGTTTCCAGTCTTACATTTAAGTGTTCAATTCACTTTGAGTTAATTTTTGTGACTGGTTTAAGACAGTGGTCCATAACGCACACTTCGAATAAAGATATTTTAAACTGTACATATGAATGAAGAAAGGGATGAATGAGGCCCTAGAAAGGACACTGTGAAAACAAGAGATCAGTTTGCAAGACAGACTCCTGGCAGACACCCCAGTGGGTTCAGATGTCAGCCAAGGACAAGCAGAGAGGGCAAAACGTGAACCTGGGCCTGGGGGCCAGGTGGCAATGGACCAACTTCATTTTTTCACTTAGTGGATGTCTATTAATCACCTACCCTGTGCAGACACCAGGCACCTGGGGTATATCAGCAGCAAACGTGAATCCCCCGCCCTGGGGAGCTGATATCTAGGGTAGTATAACGTATGGAGAGCAGCAGTGGCCCCTGGGGGAACGTGGCCTATGCATCCCCAAGATTGCATCCTCCTGGGAGTGTGTTTGTAATAATATTAGTTGCAATAACAGCAGCGATCGTTTATAAAGAACCTATGGTTATTAGTCAAGGCCATTTCAATTTTAAGTAATAGAAACACAACTTGAACTGGCTTAAGCAACCAAGAAGGAAACTTTTTGTGTATGTATTAATTTCTAAAACTACCAGGGGTTACCTAGCTGCTGGCACGGTGGATCCCAGAACTCCAAGGGCGACACCAGGTGTCTGTGTCCTGCTCCACCTCTCGGCTTTGCTTTCTTCCGCCGTCACTGCACTAACTTCATTCTCAAATGTCCAAATAGTAAAAATAGCTCCAGGCTAAGGATCTCAGCAAAGAGCAAGCATCTCTTTCCTTATTCCAGAAATTTCAGGGCACTGTTGCAGGGACCGGTTTGACTTAGGTGTTATGCCCAGGCCTGAGCCAATATTTGTGGTCAATATTGAGATGTGCTGGTTGGCCTGGGTCTGGTGGCAGCTGTGGGAATGGGGTGGGATGGGGGACAGCCTCAATTTGCCCCGTAGGGACTGAGAATGGAGGACGGGTGCTTCCCAAAAGAGAGCAGGGCTGTAGTTGGACAGGCAGCCTCAATGATGCCCTTCCCTGACTTTGCACCAGGCACAAACCAAGGGTCGGTTGGGCATCCCAACAGTCCCACGTAGTGAGATCATTCTTATCCCCATTGTACAGATGGGGAAGCTAGCTCAGAGAGGCTGAGGACCTTGCCAGCCTCACGCACCTAGCAAGTGGAGGGTAAGGAGTGTGGATTCTTTTGTACCAGACAGAGGTTACCGGGGGAGGCCACAGCCTCTGACATAACAGCATGGAGTCAGAGACGATTTGGCTGATCGCACCTAGTGAATGGAGGGGGAGAGAGAAAGGAGAATAATCTGTGATGAATTTGGCACCATGCTTGCCCCCCATCCAGTCCCCAACCCCATGGCCATGACATGTCGTGCATCTATTCTCTTGTTCAACATTCACTGAGGCCGTGTAGTGCAGTCCCAGGAGCCAGGCTACAGAGTTCCCTAGAAAGCACGGCCCTTGCCAAGGGATTAAGCGCTGATACTTTAACTTGGAAGTGGAATTCCAGGGTGGTAAAAGTGAGGGAAAAGAGAAAAGGAGGTCGGGAAGAATGGGAAGCAATGCAAGGTGATGTATAACCACACTGCTGTACAACAAACCACAGGTGGGAAATGTGCCTCAAGTGGTCCAAGGGACAGAGGATGAAGGAATTTATCCTCATCTCATCTCCTACTGTTACCGAACTCAGGTCTGGCTGCTCGCTGCTGAGAAATCAACACCCGAGAAGCAGTTGTTGGTAGAAAGGAAAGTTGCTTTTAATCAGAATGCCGTCAATCTGGGGAGATGGGGGACCAGTGTCCCCGGCAAAGATTCTGCTCGGCCATAAAAGTTTTTAAGGGGAAACAGGGAAGTAATCTCAGTTAATCATTGAGATGGGGGTCAGAGTCGTCACCATCCCGCACGGTGTGCAGGCTTGTCGACTTCTCGTGATTTTTCTTTAGACGCTATCTTGTTCACACAGTTTGCTCGTGGGATTACTGCAGGGGAAGCTGGGGAAGAGATCTGGTCATCTATTAATTACTTATCCTTCATTTCTACTTCTTTGATCTACAGAAAGAACCAGAAAGTTAGGCAAGGTTTTGCGTGATCAAAGCCTAGAGTCTGTCATACAGAGTGAAGTAAGTCAGAAAGAGAAAAACAAATACCGTATGCTAACACATATATATGGAATCTAAGGAAAAAAAAAGTCATGAAGAACCTAGGGGTAAGACGGGAATAAAGACACAGACCTACTAGAGCATGGACTTGCGGATACGGGGAGGGGGAAGGGTAAGCTGGGACAAAGTGAGAGAGTGGCATGGACATATATACACTACCAAACGTAAAATAGATGGCTGGTGGGAAGCAGCTGCAAAGCACAGGGAGATCAGCTCGGTGCTTTGTGACCACCTAGAGGGGTGGGTGGGATAGGGAGGGTGGGAGACACAAGAGGGAAGAGATATGGGAACATATGTATACATGTATAACTGATTCACTTTGTTATAAAGCAGAAACTAACACACCATTATAAAGCAATTATACTCCAATAAAGATGTTAAAAAAAAAAGATCTGAAAGGTGTGCTAGGTTACTGGCAAGACAAAAGGGCCTCCTGCAGAGAGCTCTTTCCTGCCCAAAGCTGCTTACCCTACCGCTCAAAGTTCATCCCTCCCTCCCAGTGTATGGCTCGCATCCTCCAGCCCCTCTGGCGGCCACTGGGGAGCCAGCCCCCTTAGCCTGGGATGTTGTCTGGGAGGGGTCAGTTTCACTTGTGAGACAGCCATGGCTGGGGCAGAGCAAGCAGCCAGGAGTCTGGTGGACAGAGGAGCTGTAGAGGCACACAAGACCCACAGCCCAGTAAAATGGGGATAACAGTACCTCCCCTAGCGTTGCTGAGAGGACTTGAGGTAATGCATGTAAAGCACTTACTAGTGTCTAGCCCCCAGGAGGTGAGCTGGACTGATGGTTGAATTTGCCTGGGGGGCGGTCCTTGAGGGGGAGCTTCACTGAAGGGTGCGGTCCTGGCTGAGCTGTATTAGCCAGGACTCCTTCTGTGGCAAGCCGGCTCAAATGAAGCAAAGGATGTACTGGACCACAGAACTGTGGGACCCAGAGGTGCCTCTGGCTTCAGCACATTTGGACCCAGGGGGTGACTCTGAGTCCCAAGGGAAATGACCCACATTGACCCACAACATGAGCATTTGACCTCCAGGGACCTGACCAGAGAGGAGACTGAATGAAGCTCTAGGACAAAGGCAGGTCAGTGGTTGCTTGGGGTCAGGAGAACTGACCATAAAGGGGAATGAGGGAACTTGAAATGTTCTACAGCTTGACTGGGGTGGTAGTTACAAGGCTGTACACATTTGAAAAAATTTATGAATTAGACACTTAAAGTGGGTGGATACCTCAAAGTTGATTTCTTAAGTGAGACCAAAGAAAAACATAGCTTTATTAGGACCCTTTCTATGACAGAAATCCAACTCAGGATAGTTTTAGAAAAAAAGAAATGCATTCATTGGCTCATATAATCAGGTTAGTCCAGAGGTGTGGTTAGCTTCAGGCATGGCTGGATCCAGGGGCTTACTGAGGTCTGGGGACAGCATACTTTCTCTACCACTTGGCTCCGTCCTCAAGTGGAGAGCAGGAGTTCCATCAACGTGGCAACTCCCATGAAAAGTGAATGCCTCTTTTCCCATAGTTGCTGCAAGCGTCCCAAGACGGAGTCTCAGTGTCCAGCTTGGGACACATGGCTGCCTCTAAAGCCAGTGGATGGGGAGTGGCCCCATGTGAATCCCAGGAGGTGGGGAGAAGTCATCCCCTGAAGGAAACAAAGAAGAAAGGGCTGTGGACCTTGGGTCGGGAAAGCGGACAGGTGGTTATCACATCTCTCCGTACCCAGGGGGCGGTGTTATCACCCATTCCTACCTCCAGACATCTCTGCAGAGGCCAGGCCATCAGGGACAGGCCCCAAACTCATTCAAGACCCAAGGCTGCTTTTCTGCGATGTCACAGGCTCTGTGTTGGTTAGATACAACAGTCAAAACAGAAAGCGAGCAGCTAATCTCTTCCCCACCAGCCAAGGCAAACAGAAAGCCCTTCCGGCCTGTGCTGGGCTGTCTGTCTGCACCCCAAGGAGGCTGGCGGAGGAGGGAGGAGCTCTGGCCCAGAGGGAACTCCTTGGAGCTGATGGCATCCGGACTTGTAAGATGAACCCCAAGGAGGGGAAGGATGACTCCCTGGGCCTCGGTGGGGCCAGACCAGACCAGAACCACCATCCTAACAGGGCAGGAGGGCCAGAGAGAAGACTGAAGAAAAGGTCATCTTTGTAGAGATCACGGACAGAAGACACTGTCCAACGCCTGGAGACCTACTCACTTCCTGAGCAATGCGCTGCAACCGGCATGGAATGAGCACGTTCTCCACCCAGACACCTCCCCGGGTTCTCTGATGAAGCGGCCTCCTGGAAGGGGAGGGACAGGGAGCCACAACATCCTACCTGTTCAGAATATGCCTACAAAGTGGACATACTCCTACAGGGCACTATGATGTCCATTAAACAAACAAGGCAACAGGCTTGGAGGGGAGGGGGCTTTACCCAAGGCCCCGGCTAAGTGGCTGCCCCTGACCTGGCTCCTGGGCAAACGCCCACCAACTCCAGGAGCTCAAAGCTCTGCCCTCATCCTGATTGCTCTAGGCTTTCAGTTGCGCTGAGGTTATTTCTGACCCAGGTAAGCAAGGTAGCTTAGGGCCAGCTCCCCAAAGAATATGGGCAGAGAAGCCTGAGCCTAGGGCCCTCACCCCATCTCCCACCGAGCTTTTGGCTGAGTCTGCCTGCCCAACCGTCCTGTCTTCTGCAGAGCAGGTTAAATGGACGTCATTGCCAAGAGCGTGTACTCGGCCGCAAAGAGCTGGTGGGGAGCAAGGTGAGAGCTCAGGCCCAGCAAGGGAAGGTGGTGTGGACAGAGCTCAGGCCCTCCCTGCCAAAGGAAGCCCGTGGGCCAGGCCCAGAGCTGCTGGGCCCTGGGAGAGGGGCATTCTCAGCTCCCAGCTCCTGTCTCTGCTGTCATGTCCAGGCCCTCCAGCCCTGCGGACCGGCCTAGGAACAGTGACACTTTCTAGAGCCAACAGTGTGCCTGCCCGCTAGTTCCCTGCACTGGCAGCCTGCCCAGGCCCTGGGAGTCCAGCTCTGCAGGAATGAGGGAGGCACCCCCAGCAGGGGTCCTGACCCTGAGGGCCGCCAGCTCAGAGCAGGGCCCCGACGAGCGAAGCCCCACGCGGGCTGTGCTGCTTCCTGGATGCCTCTGTCCAGGTAAGGAGCAGGGACCGCTAGGCCTGTGCCACCCACCAGCTGTGTGACCTGAGCCACACCTCTTGCGTGTTCTGCAAAAGGGGCTAAACCCTGCCCTGCCCAGAGCTGGGATCCTTGGCATGGCAGGCTGATGGGGGAGGGCCGTGGGTCCAGGCTGGCCATGTACATACTCAGCATCAGGGAGACGAAGGGACGATCACCCAGCCTCCCAGTGGGACAGGGGCACCCACCCAGTTCAGGACACTGTGATGACCATATCTTGTTATAACTAAATATGCTAATTATAAATGGCAACTTTAGAAAGAGCACTAGCCTTGGGAGTCAGAAGCTGCAGATCTACACCCCAGCTCTGCTGCATCCTAGACGTGTGTCCTTCAGGAAGTCTCCTGATCTCCTTAGCCTCGGTCCTCCATCTGTAAAATGAGGATCAAAAGGTGACTGAGCCGGAGAGAACATAATGGAAGTGAAAGTCTGCCAGCTGCAGATGGCCCCATCTCCTCCAACAGGCTCTGAAGGCAGAGCTGGAGGAAATCTCTTCCGTCACTAACTGCTGGTGGGTATGGACCTGGACCGTTCTCTGGCCGCTTAACAGAATAACCTGAGGAACAGAAGAAAAAAAGGTACCAAGGCCTGGGTCCCTCCCCACACCCAGCAATTCAGATCCAATTGCTCCTGGGGGGGGGGGGCGGGGTGGCACTGAATTTTTTTTTTTATAAGTTCATTTATATATTTATTTTGGGCTGTGTTGGGTCTTTGTTGCCGCACGTGGGCTTTTAGCGGCGGCGAGCGGGGGCTACTGCGTTGTGGTGCTCGGGCTTCTCACTGCGGTGGCTTCTCTTGTTGTGGAGCACAGGCTCTAGGCGCGTGGGCTTAGCTGCTCCACGGCATGTGGGATTTTCCCAGACCAGGGCTCGAACCCGTGTCCCCTGCATGGGCAGGCGGATTTTTAACCACTGCGCCACCAGGGGAAGTCCTGAAATTTTTTTTAACGTTAAGTGATTCTTCCGTGTGCCGGGAGTCAGGAAGCAAAGCAGCAGCCCACTTAGAACGCAATCAGGGCACAGCCCACGTTTCTGTGTTGCTGCTGTCTGGCCGAGCAGCTTGTGCGATCTTATTTCCCTGACCAGGGACTGAACCCGTGCCCCCCCGGCCCCGCAGAGGAAGCATGGAGTCCTAACCACTGCACCGGCCAGGGAAGTCCCAGAGCCCACATTTCTAGCATCCTTCCCAGCAACTTCACCAGTCTCGGTTTAGAGACCGAGTGCTGCCCCAATACCTCCCAACGAGCTTGCTAGCTGGAGGTACGTTTTGGCGCACCCTGGCCCACTTGGCAAAAAGAAAATCAGAGACTTTCTGCCTCCCAAGGGCCCAGGGCCATCGCTCAGATGGGTTACGAGCTTCCCCACGTTTGGAAGCCCCAAATCCTGCTAAGTGGGTGAGGGTATACATGCAAAGAGAAAAAAAATGCTGGAAGGATCTATTTCATTAGCAGACATGATCTCTACGTATGGGTAGCTATAAACCTTCTCCATCCTTCTGGATTTCCGAAATGCTCTCCAGTAATCAGTTTTATTTCTTATGCATTATCTTTTTTTTTTTTTGGCAGATGTTTTGGGGTAAAGAATGAGGAACACGCCCAGGAACAAGGAGGTTTGCGGGGATGGAAGAGCTGGGCAGACGGGCCTCAGGGAGGGACAGCTGATTTCAGGTTAGCAAATGCTTAGCTGTGAGAGAGGATGGGATATGTTCTATCGCCCGGGTGTCCACTGTGGGATGTGAGAAGCTCATTTCACGAGAGCCCCGCCCACGTTTTACCAAGAAGAAATAAACATCACTCCCCCTGCCCTCATTCCCCCCTATCCCGTACTGACCTTTACCTTGGAGCCGTCCCTTCCCCCTGGGCAGAAGAATGCTGAGCAAACTCGGCCCCTTAAACACTGTCTCTGGGAGCTGGGATGGCGGCACAGTGGGGACCGCAGGAGCCCAAGGAGCAGGGGGCTCGGCTGGCCAAGGAGGGAGGATCGTGGCCGTCAGGGTCCCACCAACGGCCATCTTCTCGCGTGACAAGAGTTTTGCATTGGCACCTGGTGGGGGAAACCTTAGAAATACCTCGAGGATGACCTTCCTCTGCTGACTGGGAGGCTGACAGGACCCAGGGTGGACCACGGGAGCAGGTACCGTCCTTACTGCCTGTCCACCTCCCCGTCCGTCCATCCACAGGCTGGCCACCTGTCCAGCCTCTGCCAGAGAGGACGATGTTGTGGGATCTGGTGACATGTGGGATGGTGTTAAGGGGGGCATGTCACCAATTGGTATTTCGGCTTGACAGTCCCATGGGACCCCCACACCTCCACCCATAAAAGCCTTGGCTCAGCAGAAGTATCTGTGGGTGGGGCACCTGCTGGGCATGGTGGAAACCCAGGAGGTGAGAGAGGAGTAGAGACCACCTGGGCGAGAGAAAACGGGCTCTAGGGTGACAGCTGGGGGGGAAGACCTCGATCCCCTGCAGGCGGCTCTGCAAAGTGGCCAGCTCACTGGGTCTCAGCGCGTGGACCGAGGCTCCTTCCGTTTTAAAACCCAGTGTTGCCCTGGACACAGCTGACCCCGAAGCTACCCTTCCTTGGGCTGGACACGTGCAGCTGGGCTCCACGGAACCCTCCCCGCACACAAACCGGGGAGACCCTGCATTCTCCTGGGCTCCGATCGGCACAGGAATGTCTCGAGGCCCGGGCCTCCCCAAAGAAGAAATTATAAGAGTACATGCAAATCGATGCACCCACCGACAAAATGTTTTAATAATCAGTAAGTTCCCCTTCACTCTCATTTCAGGACGATGGGAGAGGACACGCCAGTCGAACCCCAGGTAGCCCTTCCCACCCCAGAGCAGCCGGGCGGGCTGGGGCCACTGCCTGATGCACACTGCAAGAACAATAAGGATTTTTAGGGGCATTATGACTGAGTCAGAAAACACAGCTGCCCCTGAAAGTCCCTCATTTTTCTTGCTGTCCTTGAGCACTCTCCAGGTGAGTAAGGAGTCGACGGGCTGGCCCAGGTGAGCCAAGGAGGAGATGGTGGCCCACGGGAAGCCCTGTGGCAGGTCTCCACGGTGGCGTGATTCTCTCCAGTGCTCCGCCTGGACTGTGGCCGGATTCACTGCCCCCCCGCCCCGTACCCCGAGGTATGCCCAGGAGTGACCAGCCTCTGTTCCAACTCAAAACCCCATGCCTTCTGCCCGCAGGGAGCCGGGGGCTAGAATCCTGGTGGAATCCCAAGTGGCGAGGGGCCCCAAGAACTAGGCAAAGCAGGAAGACCCGGAGGAAGGGCCATCTGGCCCTCGTCTTCACATGCGGGGCGTGGACCCGTCCTGCAGGTACTGAGCTCGAGAGGCTGAGTGACGGTCACAGTCCTGTCGTGACACAGGAATAGCAGAGACTCCCCACCCCCTGCCCGCAAACAGCCTGTCATGGGCAAAGGGCAGTGCGGGCTTCTGGTTTGTCCCGATGGCGTTCAGGTTCAAATCGGCGAGCTGCCCGCTCTGCTGGAAGAGATTGGGGGTAGGGTGAGGGGATGGCCAGAAAGCGGCCAGCGAGAAGAAACAGGAGGGGCCGGTGGCTGATTTTTTTTTCTTACAGGAGGAAGAAAGGGGCTCTGGAATCAGAGCTTGGTTTAAGGTCCTCCTTTATGAGGGATCCCTCGTGCCCCCAGACTCAGGTGAGCCTCCAGGGCGGCAGAGGCTCAGCTCCGAGCATCAGGGCGCCCCGACCAGGAAGGCCCCAGCAGGCCACTCCCACAGACCCTGGGCCTTTGACTCCTCAGAATGCCACCCATCAGCCGGTAACCGTCCCCTGAAGCGAGGCCATCCCACCCAGGGCCCCAGCTCAGCTGGAATCTGCCCAGCTGGCTGCTGGGAGCCTGCCCCACCCAGCCTGCCACTGCACCCACTCCTCAGGGAGGGGCCTGGTCACCAGTCCTGCCGTGTGTGCAGGACATGTGGCCTCTCAGAAGAAGGGGGACCCGCTGCAGTGAAAAGCACATCCCATAGAAGACACACCTGGTGCCACTACCTGCTTACTTTGCGTCTCTGTGCCTCCACTTGCACATCAGTAAATAGGAAGAAGCAGCCCCCTTTGCAGGGCGACGTGAGGACTGAAGGAAGTATACAGAGCGGTTGGTCGGCTCCCAACAAAAATGTCCTCCCCTCTCCAAGCAGTTTCCCCCTTGCCCTCAGACCCCAAGAGCTGGGCCAGGCTCCCTGGGAGTCTCCAAGGACTCAGACCATGGGGGATTCTTCCTTCTCAGAGGGCAACTGGGACCAGTGTGAGGGCACAGGCCTTGCTGCTCCCTGGGCACTAACGCTGCACCCTCTCCCCACACCCCGGGGTCCTGCCTTGTTCAGACAAAGAGCACGTGTGCCCAGAACCCTGGATGCCCGACTACAGCCTCAGCCCCCTCAAAGCTACGTTACAGCAGCTGTCACCGTGCTGCAACCTTCTGCCCTAACCAAGACCACGGCCGTATACTCCACCAGCAA